GAATCCTGTCCTTTGCTGTACATGTCGTGGAGACTAAGGTTACCAGCATGAGATTTGATGATCATTATGTCGGCATCGGCCTAAATTTATGGATATTGGATGCGTCCATCAAGCCACTGAAATTAATGAGGCCTCAAAATGTTCAGAGAGCACAGTACTGATACATCCTTTCTAATAACATTTCCATCACTCATTTCCCAGGAATATATTTTTGCGCTGGCTGCTGCGGAACACCCTTTAAGCAATGTTTTGTTCCGTCATAACAAAGGTTAATTTGATGCAAAAAAGAAATTTTCTCATTTGAAGAAAGTCTTTTTCTTTCCTCACGGACAATATTCGCGAAATTATGAATGTTTAGTGATGATAGCACTTGTGCAGGTAAGTTTTTTATTTGACTATAAATTTTTTCACAACTGAGTTGTGGAAAATCTTCACAAAAAATGATTGAACTTTCAAAAAGTAAGGTGGAATTCAAATATATTTTTGAAAGCTTGTTAGTGATGACCAAAATTTGAAAAAAAAATTATGGTCATCCATTCCTACTGAGATTTTTAGAAACGGCGAACAAGGCTGATCTTCTGCCTACACTTGTTGATTTAAGTCAAATCTAATTTTTACGAGTTTGCAGTAACTCCTGATTTGATTACCTTCAAGGAAATATGTATGTATCAGTTGAAGTTATATTGTAATCACGGTTTTTTGTTGTACACATTTGTATATTGTACCATGTAATAAGTATTACGGAACAATAAAGACTTTGTTAGCGTAACCAACGTAAGCGGAATTTCCCCACATCTCAGATTCTTGAACCCCATGTCTCAGATTCTTAAAAAAATTTCTAAAATGAATTTACAATGGCGCAAAGCGCGAGAGTTTTACCGTAATCCTACTGTAAGTATAGCGAGCCAGCTTTTTTTTTAAATACAAGCAAAATCAGCCCTTCCTTTTTGGAGCCTAGATCCGTACAAAACATGTGGGTAAGAAACTTATGAACTACCAAAACGATCCTTTTATGATCTTGTAGTTCACGAGACCTCATTAGCGTGATGTCTATGAAAACCACTCACCATGGATCCATCCTTGCTGAGTCCGAGTCCAGTCCAAGAGTCGGTCATAAGTTTGGTTTCTAACGAGAACTCGATCTCATCCGTCTCATCGATGTAGTTCCATGAGAGCTTGTAGTCGCAATCGGAGCATCCGGGAGGATAGCGGAAATCTCCATAGCAGACATCGCCGCCAACTGTAATACAGATTTTCAAAAAATTCGGAAATAAAGCGCATCGCCTCAAGATTATTTCTCAAAGGGATCGTGCGTTTCTCATTGTCAGAAGGGCCATGACCCAACCGAAAGTCTTCCACAAAGCTGTCAGCTACTTAAAAATTATAGGCACCTTAAGATTAGGTGAAAAACGCGCTTTTGCAGATTTTTGTGCATGATATTTTTTGACAATTTCCCAAGCCCCATAACCTTGATTTCTTCTGAAGTGTATATATGCACACAAAATATAAACAGACCTTTCAGTTTACTTTGCTTCTGCGATTTTGACGAAGAAGTAGTGCTATGAGATGGTGTTGACTTCGTTTGTAGTCCTAAATACGATTATTCATTAATCAAACAGATGAAAAATCAAATAAAAATAAAGCAACAAGATCATATAATAATAAAAAAGTTTGCAAACGGAGAGCAAAAAAAATCATAAATTCTGTGGGTGTAAAGGGGCCAAACCGAAAAAAAATTCTTGCTTTTATAAATGACATTTCAAAATATTGAAGATGTCATCAAATTATCACAACTTT